CATCCCAGCACAGCACAGCCCCAAACACGCCCCAGCTCCCCCATTCCACAAGCACAGAGGACACAGCGCTCTCCCCACCCCAGCCCAGCCCGGCACAGCCAAACACCCCCCAGTTCCCCCGTTCCGCGAGTACAGAGGACACGGCGCTGTCCCCCCCACAGCCCCAGACACTGCCCAGCTCCCCTGTTCCACGAGCACAGAGGACACGGCACTCTCCCCCTCCCCAGCACAGCGCAGCCAAACACCTCCAAGCTCCGCCGTTCCACAAGTACAGAGGACACGGCGCTCTCCCCCCAGCACAGCAACCACGGCCCCAAACACGCCCCAGCTTCCCCATTCTACGAGTACAGAGGACACGGCGCTCTCCCCACCCCAGCCCAGCCCAGCACAGTCAAACACGTCCCAGCTCCCCCTCTCCAGGTCGCAGCCCTCCACTTATCTTTATGACAGCTGGGGGGGTGCGAATCCTTCTTCAATGCAAAGGAAGGTCGTCTCGGCTACCTCAGAGTTCCTGCAGACGCTGGCTTATTCTCCTTGTCAGCTACGAGAAACAAAACCACAATCACTTCAGGAGCTTTGCAGCAGCTCAGCCGAACCCCAACAATTCCCATACTCACACTCTCCCAGCTGCACCGAGGCCCTCGGCTCACCGGCTCCAGACGGAGTCCTGCCACCTCTGCCGATGCCGGAGGCTGCGGCTGGCATCGCACGGGATACCTGGGTGAGCGACGGACAAAGTTATGTGGCATTTTGGAAAGCTCAGTGCACCCCTGCTCCTCCTGCCACCGCCCTGACTCACCTCGAATTCTCCTCTCTTTCCAAAGGTGACCTGGGCAGCATCTGCAAATAAAAAAGGCACGTGCTCCATCGCTGAGCCCTGGAATACGTTGGGATTACTCACAAGGCCAGCCCGAGACCACCTAACCTTGTCAAAAAATACTAGGCATGTTTGTAGCTCACCAGAAAACTAACATCTACTTCTGTCAAGGGGTCCACACTCATCTTGCTCACCAGTGTTCACCTGGCTCTTCTCCACACTTGTGCCGATGGCCTCTTTCGCCCAATTGTACAGAAAGGGTCGGGACAAAAAGTCTTGCTATCCTTTACCTCCCCTAGGCAGCCTGTCATCTACACCTTCAATCACAGGGCTATGTGCTTTCCTTCCTTTGGAAAAGACTATCTATAGTGGTTTGGGGTTTCTGGATCACCTCAGACCAGCAGGTTCACAGCTGAGCTGCAGTTTCTCTCATTGTGCCCAGTGGTGTATTGGCTGAGCTCAGGGGTCAAATCACACAGAGACACCAGCTGTGGGTGCTAATGCTGATCTAACTTTATCTTACAAAATGGAGGGGTTTTATAGGCAGATAAGGAAGGTTCTGGAAAAAGGGGATAGGTATATATAAACTTGGACAGGGCATTGGATAAGATTTAAGATTGATACACATAATAGGGGGGGATACTTGCATCTTTAGATAACTACTAAGTTCTTAATTGGGAAAACTAACTGCCTCTAACTGGACTTTGGTCAGTCAGAGAAACCTGCTCTCCCCCAGCAAGAGAGAGAGCTCACAATCTAACAGACAGTCTGATGCTGTCTGACCTATGTTGCCAGACATTGCTTCCTTCCACCTTCTACACTCCTCTTCCTCATCCAGGTTACCCCCAACAACTATCTGAGCTCTTACACTCAAAATATACACTCTGTCCCCTCTAGTTTACCTCTGATTTTAGGCCCAAAATATTCATTCCATCCCTAGGTTACCTAGATTTTACCTCAAAAAAAAAAACCCTGATTATCTCCTCTGCAAAATGCTGTCATTCTCAAACCTCTGCTGAGGTTTGTGAGGTCTTCAGTTGAGAGGAGGGAAAAGTATTTTGCATCTCCATTAGTACAGGTGTCGATAGAGATCGACAGAGCTTTTGTCTTTTTCAGACAATCGCACAATATTTTGACTCCCTGGCAGCTTGAATGTCACAGATCTCCTTGCCTACATCTGTGCAGATGCCACACACAGGTTTTCTCAAGACTACACAGAACCAAAATTTCCTCACCCTGCACATCCCAAGGTGAGTGTTCTGGTTAGTGAGTACAGCAAGCCCCCTCTCCTTGTAAACAAGGAACCATTTTCCCTGGCCATTTCTCTAAGGGTTAGGATTTTTTAAAACTGCTGTTGTGCCACCAAACCTGCTTGGGATCTCTCCTAGCTTTTGCCTGTCCTTGGATCTAAAAAGCACACACTCTCTTCCATCTTGCAACAGCAAAACCACAAAATGCTCCTGACCCACAGTGTAACCCTAAGGATGGGTACCCCACCTCACCCTTCTGACAGAGCCATCCAGCACCCCCAACCCACCCACCAGATCTGAGTAGAGCAGCACAGCCACGGCAATGCCAAGAGTGGGAACTGCAGCCCCACTGATGGGATTCCTGCAGCAGGAGACACGCACAGAGGGACACCTTTGGCCTCATACAACCAATACTGAATTTCCTCCAAATCTGTTCCCCAAAACCATCTGCTTACAACACTGTCCCAAACAATATGTAGCAATAAAACTCTGATGCCTTCAAAACAGCCAAGTTCTTGGACGCTTGCTATTTGCTTCCTCTTACTGTTATTCTTCCTTCAGAACTTCTACCTATAG